TCAGAACAGGCTCATCAACTTAAATAATTACAGTTTAGTGAGTTCAGCAGCTTTTGTTTTGTTTTGTTTTCCAACATAATCCTATAATGTCAGATGGTTTGGAGGTTTGAGCGAGCACTTCATTAGTCTCAGGTAGTTGTGTTACCTGAGTTTCAGCTGTTTGATTTGGAATGGACAACATGGCATCTCCATTCCTCAGAAACTCTTACATCCAGATACTGGTCTTCTGCAGGACTGTTTTCCTTTACACAGCAGGGCGTTCAAGGGATTCACTATGGTTGCCAAATTGGGTATAATTCTCCTATAATAGCTTAACAGGCCCCAGCTGTGTGAAGTTGGATGGTGCTGGAGCATCGACAATTTATCACATTTTTTCGGGCAACTTTTGCAGGCCTTCAGCAATTATATGACCCAGGTACTCCAATAAATCCTTGAAGAAGTGACATCTACTTTTGTTACTGTTATGTAAGCCAAACTGCTCTAGGCGTTCAGGTTTTCAAGGTGTTCAGCTACAGTCTGCCTGGTTACTACAATGTCATCCAGGTAACAATGGACATTTGACAGACCTTGTAATACCTGGTCCATAGTCTTTGGGAACATGACTGGAGCCAAAGCGATCCCAAACAGAAAGAGATTGTATTGGAATAATCCAACAAGTCTAATTTACTGAAACATTGTCTTCCCTCTAGCAAAGCAAACAGGTCCTCAATGCCGGTTAGAGAATAGTATTCAATGTGTAGGATGGGTTTGGGTTTTTGAGTGCGCCTAACTACTCACAACTCATTGTGGTAGATCTATGGTAAGTTTATCCACCTCGTCACCAATTAGTTATGTTTGGCAGTATCATAACATGTACTTTATTTAGCAAACATTTGGGTCACATTCAGTAACACAGCTGATCTTTTTAGGATACTTTACATCTACTGAATTTATTACAAGAACACAGCAATTCAATTACAAACGGAAGTGCCACCAACAGGCACAGTGAGGGAACAACAGTATTAACCTACATACTGTGCATTACATGTTTATATGTAGGATGCAATGGGGGTCACCTAAGAGGGATGTAATGATGTAGTTTATGAAATTCCTTTTAAAAATCTGTTTTTGTGCTCACATTATTTATCTGACTTAATATGACTGAATACTGCAGAACCTATAAACCTCACTCAAGAAATTGAGAAAATTAATACACAACAATGTTTGCATTAAGAAAACATTCCATTTTATTAATTAATTTATTTTTTCTCTGTTCAGTTTGGACCATGGGGGAGATCTCAGGATCAGACCAGGACTGAGAAAATGTAAGTTCTCACAAACACACTAATGCATATTTAATGATGTAATTGATGCTCTAATCAGTCTTTCTGTGTTCAGATGCTTGTCATCTCACACTGGATCCAAACACAGCACACACTCAACTCATCCTGTCTGAGGAGAACAAAAAAACAACATGTGTGAAAGATCATCAGCCGTATCCTGACCAAAATAACCAATAAGGAAATAATGAATATAATAAGGAAAATATAAATAGATATTCATAATGATTTTTTTCTTCTCTAGCCTTGTCTGTGCTGTAAAAACACACCTGGCCAAATACCCCAGAGGGCATCACTTCCCACTTTGATAATTACTGTAGTTAATGTGTCTGCATTCAAGCATTTGGGTGGGCTTAAACAGATCACCCTTTACAGCAGATTTAGTTCACAAACAACTGACAGCTTTGACCTAAATATGATTTTCAGTTACAATAATTAATCCTAAAATTCGACATTAGTAATTTACTTTTAACAGCATCAGACGCACGCGCGCTCACAAGATCTCCCGGTTCTTACATGAGAATTCAGTTGACTGGAGACTCATTTGAATCAGTGAGCTGTCGACTCGAGAACAACTGCAATCGGATCATTCTAATTCGTGAATGAATCGTTTGGTGCGATTTGCGAACCGATTTAACAGGTTCATTGAAAATAATCAGTTCGTTCTTGAATCAGACACCGCTTCTGCATCTCGGAGCACGTGATATATTATAAGGAGTAACGATAAGTTTTATGAAATGTAGTGAAGTAAAAAGTACGATCTTATGCTTTGGAATGTAGTGAAGTAAAAGTAAAAGTTACTAAAAATAAAACTACTCCAGTAAAGTACAGATACTTGAAAAATGTACTTAAGTACAGTAACGAAGTAAAGCTACTCCGTTACTGTCCACCACTGGTGATAATATAGCATTTAAGAGATTTACAAGCAATTTTTAAAAGGCCATCAAATTTTAAAGGGCCTGTCATTTTTGACTGGGAACAGCAAATTAGGTAAAGGATTTTCAGCACAGCTTAAGGGTTAATTTTCTAAATGTAGTGAAATATACAATTTAGACCTCATCTAGCTTTTAAGGTCACTTATAAAAGTTGAAAAAATAGACTTTTAAAGAGTGCATGTCATTGATAGTAGGAAGCTGTAATGTGGGGTTTGGGTTTTGGGTTTTGTTTCATGTTCTTGTTTTCGTGTCTTTTATTTTGTAGTTTGATTCATGCTGTTAGTGTCATGCTTCCCTTGCCCTCTTGTCTTCATGCCATTGGT